TCAACGCAGACAGCTGTGGTGGGGGGAGCACACGCCAACGGCCACAGATTTTGAAGAACAGCACCTCCTGGTCTTGGCTTGTGCGCCACGCAGGTAAACAACTCCAATTGTTTACATGGACTGAGCGCGTGGGTAGCTGGCCAGCAACCAGGCCCCTGGAGCACCACGGGTCAGAGAGGCGATGATCAGATCTAGAGCGAGCCCCATAACTCTTGACAGAATAATCCACACGGTGTCTTAGTTTCACCAAAACCCCCACACGCTTCCCACGACGTCTGCGACATTTCCTCCAGGGAGAAAGGCCAGGGTCACGTAAAAAGAATGACTGATGGAGGAGAGTACTGACAGTTGTACAAAAACTCCGCAGGCATTTCAGAAAAATCTACGGAGCTACAAAAGTGGCCGACGATTATACTGCAAGTATGCTTTGGTACACTGCACAAAGCATTATAAAAATAACAAAAATAGAAGGAAAACAGAGAGCGAGGGATGGCAAGCCCTACACACTGGCATCATCTTGGAAAAACAAAATCATGGGGGTTACCTTCCAGCGGCCCCCCGCGGAAGGTGAAAATCCGCAAAGTAGCGGCGTTATAGTTATTTTATTATTTCTATATATTTAAGGCTTTATAAACCCTTCTCACACTCTTAATAACCTTTCCCACTCTCATATAAACACTTCATATGCTCTTAAACACTTTGGCGATCGTGATGAAGATGATGTTGATGAGATGAATGTTCAGTAGTGCACAGCATGTACAGTACACACAATATAAAAAACTGGGTTTAAACAACCCATGATATAGTGAAGCCGCAAAAAATGAACTGCAGTATAGTGAGGGACTACTGTACAATATAATCGTCAATTTCTAAAAAAGTTAAGTCAGGTCCTTTGGACAGGTTCAAAAAACAAATTAATATTAGTAACGTTTTGTCTTTCATCCAAGCTGTCTTATAAATAACACCTTCTCATAGTGGACTAGCTGTTCACATAATTGATCCACAATGAGAAGGTGTTATTTAAAAGACTGAGCTTAGTACAGCTCCTCAGACTGAAGAAGCCTTTCGGATGAAAGACGAAACATTTCTGCACTTATTAGTCTCATTAGAATGATTTGTTTAATTAGCTTTGTAAAGATATAGTAGAGTGCTGTATGAATGGGTAAATGAGGGCACAGATTGTACTGTAAAGCGTTTTGAGTGTCTTCATAAGATAGAAAGACGCTATATAAGTACAGTCCATTTACAATTTTTTTTATTTTTTGAACCCATTCAGAGGACCTGACTTAACTTTTTTAGATTTCTCTACCTGGATTATTGAGCATGCATCAGGATAATCATCAATTTATTTTGATTTTTAAGCATAGTGAACATTTCAAAATGTCTCTGATGCTTATATTTGAATAAATGTACAACAAACTTTGTACAATAGTTGGCTTTGTATTAAAAACTTGTTATAGAATTTATAAAACAGTCAAAGGAAGATATGCTCAAGTATCTTGTAAGCAGGGAGACAACACATTGGCAGACTGTTACGACTGCTGTCGTAAGTTGAATATGTTGGAGGGTTCAAAGCCCTAATTGTGCCAATTAGTGTCCAGGTGTGTGGCTGGAGGAAGACACTGCTGAATGGAGCTGGGATTGGCTGCCTGCCTGGAGGTGCTGTATAAGAGGAGCTGAGTTGGCGATGACTTTGGCTTTCCATCTACTCTGCGTGTCCCAACCAGCCACAGCTGACCTGTTGTTCGTCATTATATAAATTAGTATAGTTTTGTAAAGAGTTCTTGTAGGGGTAAGCTGCCATTTTAGTTAAGAGCTTTTTTTCTCCTGTTTTTGTTAGTTTAGGTCAGGTAAGAGACCTGTATTTTGGTTATTTTTGATTTGTTAGGGAAGTGGTTAAAAATAGGAATTTGTTCGTTATGTTTATTATTTTGGCCTGAGGCTCACCCTGAAGTCTGTTAAGACTCCAATGTATGTATATCATCGTTCATTCACTTTGTAAATAAACACTGTTAACCTTTTCATCTGACTCCATGGCTGCTTGAGGTGTGCAGAGGGTGGAAACGCCCACTTTTAATTACAACCCGTCGCAACAATCCTTTTTGCCAGTTGTAACGAGACAGTCACATGTCAGGGAAACACAAAAGTGGGTTCAGAATTTGTCCAACAGACAGCTCACCCAGCCGGAGACAGAGATCATTGCCAGGTGGACTGAACTTTGCAATTGTGCCAAGAAGAATTCCTCTGGTGGAGATGATCACAGCCACAGAATCAGACACCCACAACAAAAAAATTAGTTATCCGAGTAGATTAGAGACATACCTTGGTCTGTGTTTAAATCATGAGTCTTTAACTGTGCATCTAAACCTCCACTCCAGGAATGTGTTGGATTCTGCAATTAAAATGTGACATTGTCTACATAAATAAAACTTAAATTACGGTGTGGCAACTGGACACCTAAACAAACATTTGCAACCTACATGTAAAGCTCAGTTAAGAACTGGAGGTATGCTTGTACAGTACTTCATCCGCATGGTGTTTCCCCCAACATCATAAAGACGAACTGTGCAGTCCCAATAGGAGACCAGGAGGTATTCGGAATTGGCCTAACTGAACTTGACAGCAGAAATCCCATCCTCTGGTCCCTGGTTCAGCTTGTATTCATTTGAGCCTGTCATCTGAAGAAAAGGAAACAAAATCATATTTGGCTTAAGTTTATTTTAGCAAAAATCAACCTGATCTTATTTACCAAGCTTGACTGCATATAATTAGCAAAATTACATTTACAATGTCTTGATATTAGAACAAAATACACTATATCAAGGTCAAAGAATTATAATACATACAAAGACAAACATCTAAAATAAATACAAACTTTGGATTTTAGTTACAGAAAAATGAAATACCAATAACATAAAATGCAGTTTGCAGTAATTGCAACTAAATAATATAATAATGGCAGCCAAATATGTTTTTTTTAGACTTAGTGACTATAAACATTGACAGAAAACCTGATAAGGTTTTCCAGCTACAATTATGTAAAAGACAGTAGCCCTCTTTAAATTAGGATCAAATGTGATAATTACCATAAAAAACTTGGGGATTTCAAACAACTAAAAGCTAACACATACAAATTTCTTTGGAAAAAATAGCCTTGAAAGAGTCTGAATGTTTATGATTTGCTTGTGGAGCCTTAGCTTCAATCAACTTTATTTAAAACAAGAAAATGGACATTGAACATTCAGTCACAACCAGATATTGCACTGAGCACAACTGCTTGCTAACACTAAGCATGATAAAAACGGCTACAAGTTGTGGGATTAGCTTACTTATTGCCATTGTTTGACGTCGTACGACCGTAAACTTCTGTGATAAATCCACAACGTAAAAGATTTTTCCTCGGTATGTGATGAAATATGCAGTATAAAGCTTGGAAAGCTAGAAACCAAGGGGGTTGCTTGTAGCTACTTAGCTCCTTCAAACATCTGCACCGACACTCTAGATGAAGCTGATTGGCTGGAATGAAAGTTTGTCTGTTCATTGGTTGAATTTTTTTTTACCTCGTCGTATACTTCCGTTGTTGCTACACAAATCACGTGACAAAGGTCTGTTTTGACTGGGTATGGGGAGTGTTCCTTCCTCTGCACTCATTTCATGCACTGCATACAGACAGACTGTTATGGAAGTGTGTCCAGTAACGTATCATGGGGCACTTTTAAGTGGTTATACAGAAATTCCCACGCATTTTTAGTGGTTATACACCGTATACTCGCGTATCACGTAAACTACATCATTACCCCCCCTCCCCTGAGAACTTTGGTGAATGCTTATCAGAGCTGTACTGGTGACAATTTAACATCTTATCAGGACTGTGGTGCTATCTGGAAGTGCTTCATGGACAAATCTTACTGTCTTGTCAGCAAATGCATATGTAATGTGTCTATAAATGTGCTTGCTGGTAGAGTTTTTTTTAATGTCTTAAATCGTGTACTGATAAGGACAAGGTGTGAAAAGATCTTTTTTTAATACCACTATCCTATCCTCATAGTCTTTCGCCTTTTCTATCTAAAGAATAAGGGGCCATGGTCTTAGGAGCTGCAGCCTCGTGCAGTCCGCCCATCTTTCGGATGACTGTACTGAATATGATCTCGCTGTACTTTGGTGCAATTATAATAAAGGTTATTCTGATTCTAATCCTGATTCATTTCCTTTCTGCTGTCGACAATAAATTTAAATCTGAATTACACTTTTTAAATGGTAAAATGTCTGGATTGAGTTTATATGTCAATAAATTTGAGTCTAAATTGGATTCTACTGAATTGAAAAAAGTCCATGCTCAATAATCCAGGTATATAATCCAACAATTTGTTGGGTCTACTGAATTGAGTTTTACTTGGATCACATTAGAATGAACAGCTGCTCTTTAGTACAGAGCCTTGAGATTACTTTAGATTTGAACTGCTGTGGTGAACTAAATTTATTTTTCTTTAAAGATCCTCTTTAAATACAGTAGTTCATTTTGTTTCCACACAACCCTGGCTTGTTAGCGACTCAGTCCTTAGGGGCGGCTGTGGCTGAGTGGTTAGAGCAGTCATCATCCAATGTGAGAGTTGGGGGTTCAAATCCACCAGCAGTCACATGCTGAAGTGTCACTGGACAACACACTGAACCCCTCATAGTCTCTGATGTGTGTCCCATCAGTGTATGAATGTGATCTAAAGCACTGATTAGTCTCTTTAGAATGATTTGTTCAATTAGCTTTGTAGAGATCTAGTAGAGTGCTGTATGAATGGGTAAATGAGGACACGGATTGTAATGTAAAGTGCTTTGAGTATCTTGAAATACGATAGAAAGGCGCTATATAAGTACAGTCCATTTACCATATGTGAAGCTGCAACAAGATTTACTTTCTAAAGTAGTTTGTCCTCATTCAAAAAGAACTATTGATGTTTGGGATTTTGTTCTGCTATCAGTAACCTCTGTTCTTTTCATTCCCACAGCCACTGATCCGCCTCATGTGCTCTGATGACAAGGAGATGCAGGTATTTGCAGCAGGATGTGTGCGAAACATCCGACTACTGGCCCTGGCCAATAAGAAGGCTTGCTGGTACAAATGATATCCTCTGCACTGAACAAAGAATTTGTTGACTGAACTTAACCCAATTTCATGTATTTGCTTTTTTCTAAGAAGTTATGTCATTTTAAAGTGTCAAGTTGTAACACTTGTTAATTAATAAATGAAAATTTCAGTGAACTGACTAAACATTCTTTGGCTGTAAAATGTAAGTAAACTCAAGAGAAGTCAAACAAAGTTGCTTCAAATGTTTTCAGACTTTATAAAGTTTGTATGTTATGTCAGAACACCAAATCACCAAATTAAGTTCTTCATATTTTCAGTTCAATTCATTCATCCATCCATCCATCCATTTTCTTCCACTTATCTGGGTTGGGTCGCGGGCCTAGCAGCCTAAGTGGGGAGGCCCAAACTTCCCTCTCCCCAGCCACTTGGGCCAGCTCCTCCAGGGGAATCTCAAGGTGTTCCCAGGCCAGCCGAGAAACATAGTCCTTCCAGCATGTTCTGGGTATTCCTCTGGGTCTCCTCTGGGTGGGACACGCCCAGAACACCTCACCAGGGATGCATCCAGGAGGCATCCTAACCAGATGCCCGAGCCACCTCAACTGACTCCTCTCGATGTGGAGAAGCAGCAGCTCTACTCTGAGTCCCTCCCGGACGACCGAGCTTCTCACCCTTCTCGCCCAGACACCCTGCGGAGAAAACTCATTTTGGCCCCCTCTATCTGTGATCTCATTCTTTCGGTCACAACCCAAAGCTCATGACCATAGATTAGGGTAGGACCATAGATCGACCGGTAAATTGAGAGCTTCACCTTTTGACTCAGCTCTCCCTTCACTATGACAGACTAGTGCAGCGCCCGCTTCACTGCCGTCGCTGCACCTATCCACCTATCGATCTCCTGTTCCATTTTTCCCTCATTCGTGAACAAGACCCCAAGATACTTAAACTCATCCACTTGGGGTAGGACCTCCTCCCCAACCCGGAGAGGGCACTCGACCCTTTTCTGGCTCAAGACCATGGCCTCAAATTTGGAGGAACTGACCCTCATCCCTACCGCATCACACTCGGCTGCGAACTGCTCCAGCGAAAGCGAAAGCTGCTGATCACGACCTGATGAAGCCAATTAGAACACATTATCTGCAAAAAGCAGAGAAGAAATAAAAGTTATGAACAGAATCGGTGACAAAGGGCAACCTTGGCTGAGTCCAACTCTCACCGGGAACGAGCCCAACTTACTGCCGGCAATGTAGACCAAGCTCTGATACCGGTCATACAGGGACCTAACAGCCCGTATCAAAGGGCCTGGTACCCCATACTCCCGGAGTACCCCCCACAGGATTTCCCAAGGGATGCAGTCGAACACCTTCTCCAAGTCCACAAAGCACATATAGACTAGTTGGGCAAACTCCTACATATCCTCCAGGACCCTGCTGAGTGTGTAGAGCTGGTCCTGTGTTCCACAACCAAGACAAAAACCGCACTGTTCCTCCTGAATCCGAGGTTCGACTATCCAATGGACCCTCCTCTCCAGAACCCCCGAATAGACCTTACCAGGGAGGCTTAAGAGCGTGATCCCTCTGCAGTTGGAACACACTCTACGGTCCCCCTGTTTGAATAGGGGGACCACCACTCTGGTCTGCAAATCCAGGGGAACTGCCCCCTATGTCCACGCAATGTTACAGAGTCGTGTAAGCCAACACAACCCCACAACATCCAGAGCCCTAATGCAAATCTCATCTACCCCTGGGACCCTGCTACCGAGGAGCTTTTTAACCACCTTAGTGACCTCAGCACCAGAGATTGGAGGGCCCGACCCAGAGTCCCCAGGCTCCGCTTCCTTAGTGGAAGACGTGCTGGTGGGATTGAGGAGGTCGTCAAAGTATTCCGCCCACCGACCCACAACATCCCGAGTTGAGGTCAGCAGCACACCACCCCCACTATAAACCGTTTCGCTCTCCCTGCGCGACTCCCCCCCCCCCCCCCCCGCAGCGCCGGATGGTGGACCAGAATCGCTTCGAAGCTGTGCGGAAGTCATTCTCCATGGCCTCTCCGAACTCCTCCCATGTCCGAGTTTTTGCCTCAGTGACCACCCAAGCCGCATGCAACTTAGACTGCCGGTACCCATCAGCTGCTTCCGGTGTCCCATAGGCCAAAAAGGCCCTATAGGACTCCTTCTTCAACCTGACAGCATCCCTCACCGCCGGTGTCCACCACTGGGTTTGAGTGTTACCACCGCAACATGAACTGACAACCTTGTGGCCACATGTTCGATAAGCCGCCTCTGCAATAGAGGCTCGGAACATGGCCCACTCGGACTTAATGTCCCCCATCTCCCCCAGAACGTGTTCAAAGCTCTCTCTGAGGTGGAAGTTAAAGCTTTGTCTCATGGGAGACTCTGCCAGACGTTCCCAGCAGACCCTCATAATATGTTAGGGCCTGCCAGGTCTGGCCAGCATCCTCCCTCGCCATCTGAGCCAACTCCCCACCATGTAGTGGTCAGTGGACAGCTCCACCCCTCTCTTTACCCAAGTGTCCAAGACATGCGGCCGCAGATCAGATGAGACGATAACAAAGTTGATCATTGAACTGAGGCCTAGGGTGTCCTGGTGCCAAGAGCACATATGGACACCCTTATGCTTGAACATGGTGTTCATTATAGACAATCCATGACAAGCACAGAAGTCCAATAACAGAACACCACTCGGGTTCAGATCAGGGAGGCCATTCCTTCCAACCACACCCCTCCAGGTCTCATTGTCATTGCCCACGTGAGGGTTGAAGTCCCCCAGCACAACAAGGAAGTCCCCAGGAGGCGCACTCTCCAGTACCCCTTCCAAGGACTCCAAAAAGGGTGGGTAATCTGAACTGCTGTTTGGCGCATAAGCACAAACAACAGTCAGAACCCATCCCCCCCATGTGTATGCGAAGGGAGGCCACTCTCTTGTTTACCGGGGTGAACCCCAACATTCTGGCACCAAGGTGGGGGGCAAAAAGTATGCCCACTCCTTTTCGACGCCTCTCACCAGGGGCAACTCCAGAGTGGAAGAGTGTCCAACCCCTCTCAAGGGAGCTGGTTCCAAAGCCACAACCCTGTGTCGAGGTGACTCCGACTATTTCTAGCCAGAAACTCTCAACCTCACAAACCAGCTCAGGCTCCTTCCCTACCAGAGAGGTGACATTCCACCTCCCAATAGCCAGCTTCTGTAGCCAAGGATCAGACCACCAAGGTCCCCGCCCTTGGCCACCACCCATTCCGCATTGCACCCAACCCCTTTGGCCCCTCCCACAAGTGGTGAGCCCATGGGAAGGAGGACCCACGTGTCCTCTTCGGGTTGTACCTGGCCAGGCTCCATGTATAAAAGCCCGGCCACCAGGCACTCGCCAGCGTGCCCCACATCCAGACCCAGCTCCAGAGTGGGGCCCCGGTGACCCACGTCCGGTCAAGGGAACATTAATTCCATTAATTTTGCTTATCATAAGGGGTCTTTGGGTTTAACTTTTCCTGGTCCCTCACCTAAGACATGTCTGCCTTGGGTGACCCTACTAGGGGCATGAAGCCTCTGACAGCATAGCTCCTAGGATCATTAGGGCACTCAAACCCCTCCACCACGGTAAGGTGGCAGCCCAGGGAGGGGCAGTTCACTTCAATTCAGCTTATTTATATAGGGCCAAGTCACAATAGAAGTTGTCTCAGGGTACTGTATAAAATATTCATATAAATAAAAAAGCCAGTTAATAAAGTTTTCTATCTAAGGAAGCCAGCAGATTGTGTGTTGGGGTTCACCCCAGTGAATGAGAGGGTGGCCTCCCTCCACCTACATGTGGGGGGATGGGTTCTGACTGTCGTTTGTGCTTATGCACCAAACGGCAGTTCAGATTATCCACCCTTTTTGGAGTCCTTGGAGGGGGTACTGGAAAGTGCACCGCCTGGGGACTCCCTTGTTCTGCTGGGGGACTTCAATGCTCACGTGGGAATTGACAGTGAGACCTGGAGGGGTGTGGTTGGGAGGAACAGCCCCCCTGATCTGAACCAGAGTGGTGTTCTGTTGTTGGACTTCTGTGCTCGTCATGGATTGTCAATAACGAACACCTTGTTCAAGCATAAGGGTGTCCATATGTGCTCTTGGCACTAGGACACCCTAGGTCGCAGTTTGATGATCGACTTTGTCATCGTCTCATCTGATCTGCGGCCACATGTCTTGGACACTCGGGTGAAGAGAGGGGCAGAGCTGTCCACTGATCACTACCTGGTGGTGAGTTGGCTCCGATGGTGGGGGAGGATGCTGGTCAGACCTGGCAGACCCAAACGTATTGTGAGAGTTTGCTGGTAACGTGTGGCAGAGTCTCCTGTGAGACGGAGTTTTAACTCCCACCTCTGGGAGAACTTTGAACATGTTCCGAGGGAGGTGGACATTGAGTCTGAGTGGACCATGTTTCATGCCTCTATTGTCGAGGCGGCTTACCGGAGCTGCGACCGCAAGGTTGTCGGTGCCTGTCGCGTTGGCAACCCTCGAACCCGATGGTGGACACCGTTGGTGAGGGATGCTGTCAGGCTTAAGAATGAGTCCTATTGGGCCTTTTGGGCCTGTGGGACCCCGGAAGCAGCTGATGGGTACCGGCAGTCCAAGCGAAATGCGGCTCGGATGGTCGCTGAGGCAAAAACTCGGGCATGGGAGGAGTTCGGAGAGGCCATGGAGAATGACTTCCGTACGGCTTTGAAGTGATTCTGGTCCACCATCTGGTGTCTCGGGGGGGGGGGAAGCGGTACGCCACCAACACTGTTTATAGTGGGAGTGGTGTGCTGCTGACCTCAACTCGGGATGTTGTGGGTCGGTGGGCGGAATACTTTGAAGTCCTCCTCAATCCCACTGGCACGTCTTCCACTGAGGAAGCGGAGCCTGGGGACTCTGGGTCGGGCCCTCCAATCTCTGGTGCTGAGGTCACTAAGGTGGTTAAAAAGCTCCTCGGTGGCAGGGCCCTAGGGGTAGATGAGATTCGCCTGGAGTTCCTTAAGGCTCTGGATGTTGTAGGGTTGTATTG